GAGTACTAGCATTTTGAGAGAGTGTGAGAATATAATGGAAATAGTGACTTTAGGTCAAGTCAAATCGTCCATCTAGTCTGATTGATAGAAAGAAAACTTCATCACAACTCTTTGTTTCCTAAATAAATTGTTTTGATTTGACGAGAGGGGAAAAGAACAGTCCTAACATTTTATTGCCAACTATTATTATTTACTTTTAGAAAATAATACATTTTTATTGTATGATTAATATTGAAGAAAAAATATCAATGTAGTGTAACTTTAAGTACCTATATTTTTCAAAAATCTGTTATGTGCTCACACTATTCTTGCGTTTTAGTATTTTTTCAAGCTGATTGTAGGAACTTTTTCTGAATTTGTTTTCATCTTCAGTATAACTAAATTATAGTAACTATTTTTTGGTTGTATGTCACGTAGATGTTTGATTTAATTTATCAATATTAATGATAAATAATAAATTTAGACACATGTTTTTTAATGGAAATATATTTAGATATATCTTTTTCATCAATTTATTTAGATATACGTTTTGATAAATTTACAACTGTGAAATAGACTATAACAATGTTGGTTTCAAATTTGATCATTTCTTTTAGTTTTTTTTCCATAATATTTTATATTTCTTTAAAAAGATTTTTAGAAGAAAAAAGTAAAGTATAAAAAAGAAATTTAGGTCAGTTCCATCTACTTTCTAATATATTCAAAATATTTAAGTGTGATCAAAACCGTTACTTTGATCATTGAAAAAGAAGTCTGAATCAAAACCTGAAGCGATCTCAAACCCAACAAAAGAAGAGAAAATAACAATAATAAGCATTTAAGTTTTTCAAACTTTTTACCAGCAAAAAAAAAGTTTTCCAAACTTGATTTGTTCCTAGAGTCTAGACGGTTAAATTATTAGCATTTGATATAAAAAGTAATCCACATTCTCTAATCAAAATCTTAAATGCTAATCAGTTTTCTTTGTGTAATGTCATCGTTTCCGCATCGCACCACCACCTTCTCATTAGTCAAGTGTGTTGTTTCTAACCTCCGTCGCCGTAAACGTTTCCTTATAAGCAAATTATGGTTATAATTATATAAACTAATCTAATAAAGTGACCTTGGTTTGACCGTACTATATGCTATAGTCCACGTAATACAAATGATAAAATAGACGTAAGAACTAATATGATAAATTTAGTGGCAAGTCCCATCATTAAGCTTTTTAGAGTAGTTTCTTTATTTGTTACCTCAAATCAATTAAAGAGAAGAGCCCATGCATTTATGAAAACGATGGTTTGCAAATAGTTAAGAGTCAAGACAAATTAAATCACACACAAAAAGTTAAATCAAAGAACTATGACCAGTGATCATGGTTTACGACATGGATACAAAGGATGGGATAAGCTTAACGTCTATCATTATCATTGATTAAATTATTATTTTTGACCTGCATAGTAATTACGTCAACACTATAATAGTTTAGTGTTTCGTTTCTTTAATATGTGACAGCTAAACGTAAGAAAATCATTAATTAATTAGGGTGTATAATCTTACTTGGAATACGCGTACCCGTTATTCATTTTGAACTGTTCAAAATTTCCAGTAACCTATAAAATATCAGTGTATTTGTTAAGTGGATAAGTTTATTCGTTTAACCCGCACATCAAATTAAAAATTACGGGTCAAACCAAAGATACAAAATGGCCCATGCGTAACTTAGTTGACAGAGAAATCAAATCCAAAGTCTTTGCAAATTTATGCTTTGGGCCTTAAATAGTCAATTGGCAATGGCATGCCACCACACGCATGTTTATTATGTAAAAATTATTTGGGCGTTAGTGCGTTACACATATATAAATTAATGGATTAGGGTTATTATTTAATTAATCAAAAGTTATGTATTTACTTTGGTATAAAATAAATTACATGTAAGTACACTTAATAATTCTTAATACGATGAAAAACCGAACTAGAAATTAATCTTAATATAAATAGACGTTTATGATTCTCAAAACAACCCCTAACCAAAAATACTGAAATAAATAATTCTCTGCAGAGCTAAAATTATTGAAAAGCTATTCAAATTTCCTAATCTCAAATTCATACCCAAAGATATGAATTTATCAGGTACGCCTCAACTTTTGTTATCATTCATCAAAAACTTACATAGACTTCAAGTTTTATGGAATCGGAAACTACTTTCATATTATCTTTAGGTTTTCAAATTGTTACCTCCATTAAAATTAACTTTTGCTTAAAAAAAAAAAAAAAAAAAAAAAAACTTTTGCTTACAATATTCTTTTGTTGCCCCCCTAATTAAGAATTTCTGTAGTACTACGTCTTTGACTTGGACGCCAAGTTTTCTAACCGACACTAATCCCTAAATGGGCCAAGCCCAAACTAAAAGACGCGCTTCCTCTTTCCACGTGTCACTCTTTTTAACTTTGTCGCCAAGTCTTCTTTTTTTTCCTTAACCTCAAAAACCAATTAATGGGCCTTTTTATATAGAGGCCCATTTATCTGAAAGAGAGCGAAGTCAAAATCTCTCCCTTGTTTCTTTCTTCTTCTCCTTCCTCCATTAGACACAGAAACAGAGGGAAAGAAGAAGAATCCCTAAAACCCTTGAGCAATCTTCCGTTTCTAGAAGATCGCGTCCGGTTTTGGCCTCGAGACCCATGTCAAAAAACGGCCCTTTTCACCAAAGTACCAATGCTTTTTCATCTTCCGATTTATGTATACGTTTGAATTGGGGCTTCTTGTTGTTGTTATTGAGTCCTCTTGTGTTTCCATATGTATGCAATTTCGTTGTAGCTGCTTGCAATACAACAAGCTATAACAATGGAGCTGTCTGATGAATTTCCTCAACACTTTCTGTTTTGTAGCTGGTCCTGAAGAAGAAGAAGCAGGCAAGAGCGTTGTTCTATCTAAATTAGTGACTTTGATGAGTAAATTGGCGGAACAAGGAATCAATGCTCAAAACTGTCCCCCAGGACAACGTAGTGGCTTGATATGTCCAACGGTATCAATCTCAGTCTTCCTCACATGCTTAAATGTTTGCTCTTTCTTTTGGGAATCATGTTGAGTATCTTGAAAATGGCTGATTTTAGATTACTTGTGGGTACATTAGTGTGAAGGTGGAGACTCTGGAGAAAAAAGCTTGACTCTTTACATATACCCTGATGGGTATGTTATCTTATTATCTCATATAATAAGTTTTGGTTTTGAAATTGTTGTCCATGAGAATGTAGTTAATGATCATGTCTTTTTGTTTACTGATTCTGTAGTTCGTCAGCTAAATGGAGTTGCAGGAGGAAGTGTGGTTTAAAAGGTGTAGTACAGGTGAGTTGCGACAGTTGACTACGAGTACGACCAACATTTAACGAAGTAAAGCTTGATTATATTTTGAACTTATTCTCATTCCTATTTGCAGGTGGATGGTAAGTTGGTATCTAAAGATCCAATAGAGAAGGTTGAAAGAAAAATTACTGTGGAGGGTATAAAGCTAGAACCACTCTGTGATGAGGTTGTTGTCTTCTTTCTTCTGTTTCTACTGCTTTCCTCAGAAAATGACTGAACTTTGTGAATTCTATATTTCTTTGTAGTTATATGAGTTTGATCATAATTATTGTATTCTTGGTTATGCTTCAGATTCAAGATTATTTCGCTGCAAGAGCGATTTCAGTGAAAACACTCGAGAGAAATCGGGTTATGCAGAAAAGAATAGGTGACGAGGTAGCTTACGAGTATTCTTCTGAATTGCTTATGTTTTAAAGAACAATTTATAGAAAGTTCGACTTGGTTCTGGTCCTGTGTTTCTAATTTCTTGCTACATTTATTGCGGCAGATTATGATTGCTTTTGCGTATTGGCAAAGAGGGGAGCTTGTGAGTTGCAAGTACCGGTCTCTAACTAAGAAGTTCGTTCAGGTTCACATCATACAAATTCCCTTCTCAATAGCACATGTGAACAACTATCTCGAGCTTTCTGTTACGACTGTTCTCTTACATACTCTTTTCTTTGATTTTTATTCAGGAAAGGAATACACGGAAGATCTTATATGGTCTTGATGACATAGAAAAAACATCTGAAATCATTATAGTATGTCTGCCGTTATCTCCTTTAAATTATCGTAAGAAACTAAACTGTGAAGAGTAGTATTTTAATTCTTTGAGGAAAATTAAACTTTAGGTTGAAGGGGAAATAGATAAACTTGCAATGGAAGAGGCTGGTTTTCTCAATTGTGTGTCTGTTGCTGATGGAGCTCCAGTGACGGTTTCTTCAAAGGAAATCCCATCTGAAGACAAGGTTTGCCTGGTCTTCTTCTAGGTTTCATACTTTATATCTCTAGTTTCCATTCTCTTTTATTAAGCATTTTACTGTTCGGTGAAGCTAGGACACGGCGTTTAAATACATATGGAATTGCAATGACTATCTAAAAAAGGTATGTGATCACTTATTATTTGGTTTGATGTGTGATTGTTTGAATCTCAATATTCAAAGAATCTTGGTATAAAATGGTTTTTACTCCAATAGGTGTCTCGGATTGTTCTTGCTACTGATGGAGATGTACCTGGTCAAGCTCTGGCGGAAGAACTTGCACGGCGATTGGGGAAAGAAAGATGTTGGCTTGTCAAATGGCCGAAGAAAAGTGAGGATGAACATTTCAAAGATGCAAACGAGGTCAGATTCGATCACATGTGAAATTTATGAAATTTCTTTTGTGATTACTCTGGTTTAAATGATTCCTTATTTGGTTTCTTAGGTGCTTATGTTGAAGGGACCTCAATTACTCAAGGAAGCTATTCTAAATGCTGAGCCATACCCTTTGAAGTCATGAAGTGTGTTGAAGTCATCTTCTTTTTTGCATATTTGTCTTATTAATTTTTCGGAACTAGCATTAACTGTATAATTTTTCACTTTTTTTGCATATGTAATACACATTCTAAATTTTAATTATTAACCAAGAAAATAATTCAATTCAACTTTGTAGGTGAAACAGAGTACATAGCACTTTTGGATAAAAACAAGGATTTTTTACATTAGTTAAGAAGACAATTAACTAATGGTTAAACTCTAGCTAATATAGAAAACTACTACAAGGAACAAATTAGAAACAGACACAACATAGACAAATTCAAGGATTTGGACATTCGAGCATTAAATCTAATTCATCAGATTTGTTGACAACAACTTATTAATGTCTCGAGAAATCTTAGGGTTTCTCAAGATGCATTCTGCGGCTTTTAGGACTTGAACCATTTCTCTTGGAACCAGACACACTTCTTCTGTCGATAGCTTCTCCTGGATTTCTTGAGAGGCAAGCAAAAACTGCATTTCTCTTCCCACCTTTGAACTATCCCGAGTCTGCAAAATTTAAACAAGTATCGTATAAAATAAACGAAGGAAAATTCTGCTGGGATTAATTAGGAATTTAGGATTGATGGTTTATCTTATACCTGTATTTTGCTCTGCTTCATTTGAAGAATCTCAATTTGAGCCTGCAAGAACTTGACATATTTAGCTGCGGCATGGAACATTTCAGCAGTGTTGTGTTTCTGACTTCCAGGAATTAGTTTCGCAAGCTCTTGAGTCTTCTCTGTGATTCTTCTTCTTCTCTTTCGTGCTGCGATGCTCTGAGCTGATAGCTCTCGCTTCTTGGTGTCGCCTTGTTCAGTCCACCCAACCTTGAACGTCGATGAGAAATCAGGAACTCGAAACTCGGAAATGGTAGCAGCTTCGGTGATGTAAGAATCACAGAGGTTAGAATTAGGGCTCGGGGAAAAAGGGTCGTGAGTGTTGAAATGGAAGCTGGAGTTTATGAGGTTTTGGTGTTTTGGCGTGTGGAAGAAGGAATCTAAGTCCTGTGACTCATTGAAGACTTGGGTCTTAGGGCTAGGGAGAAAGATTTCTTGTGGTGGAAGAAACGGTTCGTAGAAATGATCAAAGTGATCAAACCCGAAGAGAGACGGTGAAAGAGCTTCGTCGTGATACAATGGCTGATGTTGTAGTTGTTCTTGGAAGAAGAACGTGTCGTTTTCAGGGATAATCATATCCACATCAGGGATAAAGCAATCCTGAAGCTGGATTACATCGGAGTTGGAGAAGTAGCTTAAGCAGTCCATAGTCAGGAAAGAGATGATGAATTTGTGTTTTTGGGAATGAAGAATGAAGCAATCAGGAGCAGTTACAAATGGGGATGTTTTGAGTAAATGATTAATAATATAGCTTTAACTGTTGCTAATTAAGTTTAGAGAGAGTAAACGCAGAAAAGAAAGGAAAGGACAAGAGAAGATATATGGGAGAAGCAAAGATTCTGTCTTTTGTTTTCTTTGAGTGAAGTAAGACTTCAGGTAGTAGTAAGTTTGTAACTTATAACTTAACCGTCACGGAATATATATGAAAGAGAGAGATAGAAGTTAGGGTTTTTGCGAGGATTAAGGAGGGGTTATAATGGGTTTTTAGATTTAAGCTTAACTACCTCCTAAATATTAGGCCTCGTTTCCTTTCTTTTTCTTAATTATTTCTTAATTCCATTTCAAGAAATATATGTACTAATTACTTTTGGGCCTGTTTGTAATTATATTACCTTGACGTTATTTTTGTACATTTTATTAATTCTTCAAAGAGTTCTACAGCCTCTAAAGCCCTACCTACCAATCAGCCCAAACAATTTTAATTCGTCCAGTAACTTTTTTATTCGTGGAATTTCACGAAATAAAAACAAAAAAAATTTATACTACGAAAGCATGATACACCACATTTCACACTTAAAATCTAACAAGGAAAGCAGACTCTACTTTAATTCTAATGAAGAATTAGTTATCTAGTACAATAGTACCATAAAAAAAAGTAATTCACAAACCACATTTGGTTTATTCTCATGAAGTTATGTTTAGTACTTAGTACTAGTAGTATGAATTCGCAAAAACATATTTTAAAATTCATTAAAATTCTTTACGTGTATTAGTTCTTAGTATTATATATACTAATATATATTGGGCTATTACATTTATTTTTACTGTATTTTTATTTTATTTTTAAGCACTTAAAAAAAGAAAAATTAAGAAATTTCTGTCATATTTATTTAGGCGTTTTTATTTTCTCGGTGGCGCGATTGACTCGGTACTACGGTTTTAGCGGCTAAAAAAGTTGAGATTGGTGGTTCCACGTTGTTCTTCTTTGACTTTGCCGCCAAGTTTTCTATCCCCACTAAATGGGCCAGGCCCAATCACTCTTCCACGTGTTACACTCGCTTTGACTTTGTCGCCAAGGTTTTTCTTAAGGAAATAATGGGTCGAAATAAATGCAACAAACCTAAAATAAACAGTTAATGGGCCTTTTCGCTTCTAAGCCCATTTATCTCAAAGAGAGCGAAATCAAAATCTTCCTTCGTCTTCCACTCTTCCTCCATAAGACACAGATACAGAGGGGGGAAAGAAGAAGAAGAACCCCTAAAACCCTTGACCAACCACTATGAATGGATAGTAGCTGAAGAGCTTTTACTCAATCGATACTTCGAGATGCGATTTTTGCTTCGTTTACCACAAACCCATCTGCGGAAACTCTCTTGCTCGATGTCTCTACTCATGGGTTCGAGGCAATTCCTCGAATTTTGTCTTCTTCCTTCTTTTGCCGCATACCCTTCTTCTTCTACTACTCTTTCTCCTTCTTATTCTTCAAGTAGACAAGTATCTTCCGTTTCAAGAAGATTTCGTCCGGTTCTGGCTTCGAGACCTGTGTCCAAAAACAGTCCTTACTACCAAAGGACCAATGGTTTATCATCTTACAATTCAATCTCCAGAGTCCCAACTCCTGGTATGTTCTGTATATGTTTGAATTAGGGGTTTCATTTTTAGTCATTTAGGGGATTCTGGTTCTGTTCTTATTGCTCCTCTTTTGTAGTTTAACTATGTTTTCATTCTTCTTGTTATTGAGTCCTCTTGTGTTTCCATGTGTATGCAATTTAGTTGATAGCTTCTTGCAATACAACAAGCTATAGTAATGGAACTGTTTGATGAATTTCCTCAGCATTTTCTGCTTTGTAGTTGATACTGAAGAAGAAGCAGACAAGAGGGCTGTTCTATCTAGATTAGTGACTTTGAGGCGTAAATTGGCGGAACAAGGAATTGATGCTGAAAACTGCCCCCCAGGACAATATAGTGGCTTGACTTGTCCGACGGTATCAATCTCAGTCTTCTTCACATACTTATATATTTGCCAAGACTTAAGTACTATGTGAATGTTGCTTTCATAGATGTTTGCTCTTTCTTTTGGGATTCATGTTGAGTATCTTGAAAAAGGTTAATTTAGATTGTCCACTTTTCTTGTGGGTACATCAGTGTGAAGGTGGAAACTCTGGAGAAAAAAGCTTGTCTCTTTTCATAGCCCCTGATGGGTATGTTATCTTATTATCTCATATAAAAAGTTTTGGTTTTGAATTTGCTGTTCATGACACTGTAGTTAATCATGCCGTTTTATTTTCTTATTTGTAGTTCATCAGCTACATGGAACTGCTTTAGGGGGAAGTGTGGGTTAACAGGTGGAGTACGGGTGAGTTGCGATGGTTGAGTACGAGTACGACCAACATTTTATGAAGTAAAGCTTGATTATATTTTGAACTTACCCTCTTTCCTGTTTGCAGGCGAATGGTAGGTTGGCATCTGCTGATCCTATTGAGAAGGTTGAAAGGAAAATTACGGTGGAGGGTATAGAGCTAGAACCGCTCTGTGATGAGGTTGTTGTCTTCTTTCATATGTTTCTTTTGACATACTTATTCTTTCTTCTGTGTCTACTGCTTTCCTCAGAAAATGACTGAACTTTGTGATTTCTTCATTTCGTTGTAGTTATATGAGTTTGATAAATTTTATTGTGTTCTTGGTTGTGTTTCAGATTAAAGATTATTTCGCTGCAAGAGCGATTTCACGGAAAACACTCGAGAGAAATCGGGTTATGCAGAAAAGAATAGGTGACGAGGTAGCTTACGAGTATTCTTCTGAATTGGTTGTTTTTCAAGATTTTTTGCTGTCCTCAGATTCTAAAGGAGATGTTACTTCTCACTCGCTGTTCCTGTCTTGATTGCAATTTAGAAATCCTGATTTATCTAGTTACATTTTTGTCTTAAGGAACATGATTGGTTCTGGTCCTGTGTGTCCGACTCTGTTGGTATTTACTTTCTCATCTCTAATTTTTTGGTACGTTTAATGCGGCAGATTGTCATTGCGTTTACTTATTGGCAAAGAAGGGAGCTTGTGAGTTGCAAGTACCGGTCTCTAACTAAGAAGTTCTTGCAGGTTCACATCATACAAATTCCCTTCTCAATAGCAGATGTGAACAACTCTCTCGAGCTTTCTGTTACGACTGGTTCTCTTACATACTTTTTTCTTTGATTTTCCTTCAGGAAAGGAATACACGGAGGATCTTATATGGTCTTGATGACATAGAAAAAACATCTGAAATCATTATAGTATGTCTGCCGTTATCTCCTTTAAACTATCGTACGAAACTAAATTGTGAAGAGCAGTAGGTTAATTCTTTGGGGAAAATTAAACTTTAGGTTGAAGGGGAAATAGATAAACTTGCAATGGAAGAGGCTGGTTTTCTCAATTGTGTGTCTGTTCCTGATGGAGCTCCAGCGTCGGTTTCTTCAAAGGAAATCCCAGCTGAAGACAAGGTTTGCCTGGTCTTCTAGGTTTCATCTTTATATCTCTTTTTGCCATTCTCTTTTATTTGATTCCTTAAGCATTTTACTGTTCGGTGAAGCTAGGACACGAAGTATAAATTTCTATGGAATTGCAATGACTATCTAAAAAAGGTGTGTGATAATTTATTATTTTGTTTGAATGTCAATATTCCAAGAATCTGGGTATAATATGGTCTTTATTTGTAGGCGTCTCGAATTGTTATTGCTACTGACGGAGATGGACCTGGTCAAGCTATGGCGGAAGAAATTGCACGGCGTTTGGGCAAAGAAAGATGTTGGCGTGTCAAATGGCCAAAGAAAAGTGAGGATGAACATTTCAAAGATGCAAACGAGGTCAGATTAGATTATATGTAAATTTTATGAAACTGCTTTCATGATTACCTTGGTTTAAATGACCACAATGATTCCTTACTTGGACGATTGTCTTAGGTGCTTATGTCTAAGGGACCTCATTTACTCAAGGAAGCTATTCTAAATGCTGAGCCATATCCTATACAAGGATTATTCCCCTTCAAAGATTTCTTTGATGAAATTGATGCCTACTATCATAGAACACATGGGCACGAGTATGGTGTTTCAACAGGGTGGAAAAATTTGGACAACTTCTATAGTGTAAGCGTTGAAGTCATGTTCTTTATTTTTAAATATTGTTGTAGGCTCATCAACTAATGTGATATATTCAATTTGCTCGTGATCAGGTTGTGCCAGGGGAATTGACAGTTGTGACAGGGATTCCTAATTCTGGAAAGAGTGAATGGATTGATGCTATGTTGTGCAATCTTAACCATAGTGTTGGCTGGAAATTTGCTTTCTGTTCAATGGAGAATAAGGTGTGTTTCTGAAATTGTCCTTGAATGGAAAAACTGCTTTATAGTAGCTTTACCTGATTGTTCTTATTTGTGCTGCTTCCAGGTACGAGATCATGGCAGGAAACTGTTGGAAAAACATGTAAAGAAACCATTCTTTGATGCAGAGTAAGCCTCTTTGCTTTGAAAAGATCTACATATATCTGATTAAACCAAGAACTGGTGCTCTTGTAATGTCTGACCTTGTACTTAACTTTGTCCTTTCTTGAAAGTGGTGTATGTTTACCCTTTTTTTCTAAACAGTTATGGCAGAACTGTCCAACGGATGAGCGCTGAGGAGTTGGATGAAGGGAAACAGTGGTTGAATGACACCTTCTATCTCATAAGGTAAGATATTCAGCCTTGTAGAACTCGACTCTCCGCTGATACAAATATCTACCTAAAGCCCAGGAAGTTGTGTAACTTGGACATGATATGGTAAAAAATTTGGTGTTTGGGTTCTCATGACTAATCAGATGTGAGATGGATTCACTTCCAAGTATTGAATGGGTTCTGGAACGTGCGAAAGCAGCTGTTCTTCGGTATGGGATTCGAGGACTTGTTATAGATCCTTACAATGAGCTCGATCATCAACGTACTCCACGGCAGTGAGTGAAGAAAATCTTTTCATTTCAATCAGTTTTACCCTCTTTCCTTTCTGAAACATGAAAGGTTTATATACGTTTTTTATAGGACGGAGACTGAGTATGTTAGCCAGATGCTTACAAAGATTAAACGTTTTTCCCAACACCACTCCTGCCATGTCTGGTTTGTCGCTCATCCAAAACAGTTGCAACATTGGGACGGCAGTGCACCAAACCTTTACGATATTAGTGGCAGCGCACATTTTATAAACAAATGTGACAATGGTATAATAGTTCACAGAAACCGTGATGCAAAAGCTGGACCTCTTGATCTAGTGCAAGTGGGTACCAATCCCTTCATCTTCATCTGTAATGTATTATTTTAAAAATGGCCTTCTTATTGTGTAAAGTTCCTAACCTTTTTGTATGTTTCAGATTGGTGTGAGGAAAGTACGAAACAAGGTTGCAGGACAAATTGGTGATGCGTATTTGTGTTATGACAGGTACATAAACTTTTCAACTATCTTAGTTATATACTAATCTAACTTAACGGACTGAACAAGATTTAACAAGAACTTATGATAGTGTTTTGTATGCTACTTTGGCATCGAAAACTAGCTGAAGTTATTCCGAAGTACCCATAGTTTAGATTAAAGAGCTAAGCGTAACATGCGTAGAACACGTAACCTTTGTCAAAACTCTGTTCAAAGTTACAATATATAATTCTAGGATGTTAGTTCCATAATGAATCTTTATTCGACAGGGCAACTGGTTTGTACTCGGATTCTCCAGTGACGCCTGAGATACCTGAGAGGAGACCAAGCAATCGGTACTGATCAGTTTGGTGAGTTATAAAGACCGTCAAACACAGTGGACATAGCATTACCGATAACGTTTGGCAACAAAATTTTATGCCTTTTGGGTACCATCAGGCATTAGCGAGGAAAAAGATCTTCGTGTGAGATTCTTACCTTTGTGTTTTAACAGACTGTCTCTGTTAAAAAGAACAAGATTATGTCACTACTATGTAATGTGGAATTGTGTATCGTGGATCGTGGTGTTTCTCTTTTGTGTCTGGTGGGTCTGATCTAAAATGTGACTGAATTCGATTTTTGCAAAGCTCTGTGATCTTTTTGTGCTCTGTCTCTTTCTGTAATTTGTTCTGTTTCTCTCTGTCTCTGTCTACTCCTTTTGTTGCGGCTGATTTGGTGGGTGAATTAGCTGTATAACTGTTGACTTCAACTACCTATCTGTTATTATTATGCAAACTCTTTGCAAATTGATTCAATAATTTCCAATGTTTTGCCCTACTTTATTTGTGTGTTGTCTATCTAATTGATTTTTTGAGCATAATCTAATTGTCACGCAAATATTTTATAGTGGAATCAGTTGCGGCGGTGCACTATAAATGTCGATCATATAATCATTACGACGTAATTAATATAAGGGAATATAGGTGAAGAGATGTGGAAATAGTTTATTCGCGTCAAAGTATATGACCAAGACCAAAATTATTGATATGTCTAATTGTAACTACTCACTAGTTCTTGAAATCTTATTTATCAATAAATATAAAAAGAAAAATGATTAGCTTTTTATCACACATTTACTGATTCTGATATTTAATTTTTATCTAATATTCATCATAAACACCATCGACATACATTTTCATTGACAACTTTTTTTTTTTTGTGTGATAATCACATAGCTTAGGAAATATTCCATCCGTTTCGTAATATAACTCTTTTTAGGTAAAAATACGCCGATTAAGAAGATCTACTTTTTAAAAATTCAGCCAATCATAAAAAAGACTGCATAATATAAATAATCATAAAATATTAAAGTAATACATAATTTACATAAAATATTAAAGTAATATATAAGTTTGCATATTGTGAAACAAAATTTTTTCTCCAAAACGCCTTATCCTATTATAATAAATCACAAGTCATTTCACTAAAAACTGCAACCCTCTCCATCTGACACGTGTCGTAAGTCTCAAATTATTATCTTTTACTTTTCAACACCAATTTAATTCCTCGCAGAGAAAATATGCCAAAAAAAAAATCGTTCGACTTCTTAATGAACTGCTTCCATCCCACGATTTCCAAATTCTCTCCTCCATCCCACGATTAGACAAAGCATCCACATCTCTTCCATTTTCGATTCCTTTTTCATGTACCTTATCTCCATTTTTTTTCTTTGAAAGTTATGTTTATATTCATTTTCTATTTTACGAGACTGGTTTCGTTATCTTCTATACATGAATCATTAGATAATGGCTTCTTCAAAATTTTGTTGTTTCTTCGGCTTTCATTACTGAGGTACAACAATTCGTTTCAGTTGTCGTTACATGTCTCTGAATTTAGGGTTTATCATCGATTGTTAGAAGCTGGTTTGGTTCGAGATTGATTGTCTTTGTTTGATTTACATGGAGAATCTTTGAAACAATCATGTATGCAAATCTCGGATCTCTTCGTCTTTGCAGTTTACAGTTTATGTTTTCAGATTTCCCAATTCTCGCTCAGTTGGTTCATCGTCATATATGCTCATCACTATAGATTTTACATGTGGATTCCAGGTTCATCTGCGCCAAACACTTCAACAACGATTTACATCAAATCTACGTGAAGGTATTCACAATTTCGTTCATTAATCCTAAGATCTTTTAATGTTTAATATAGTCTACTGAATTGCTTGATTGATTTAAATTTTACTGTTCGTATTTTTTAGGATGAAATTACTTTGAAGGTGATCATTTTGCGCATCTGCTTAAGTTAATTCAGAGGTGAACAATCTTCAATTTATTCAATTTTTGTATCAATTAATTATTAAACTTGCTCTTTTTTTTTTAGGATTCAAAAACAGAGGAAATATTAAGTAGAGTCATTTGCTCGAATAGGAATTCATTACCTGACAAGATATGGGTCACGGTTTACTCTCTCTCCCTCTCTCATATGCGCTTTTAAGGTTGACCAGATCATGTTAATACACACAAAATTTTACTTCGGGGTGAACGATCGAGAGAATGAAACACAACATCGATCATATGCAAACCACTTGAGAACCTCCTGTCTCACAATTAAAGGACTTCATTGAAAACAAGCATCAAGGTCAGTGTCTTTTTCGATTTAGATCTTTGAGCATAAGCAAACTAATTTTTACGCACAGACCTTCCGTTTATGATTCTTAGTAAGCATAAATATGCCTACTCTAGAACTAGACATGTAGTTATAATGAAGAATATGAAAACAGGTAATCAAAAGCATAAATGTATATTACATGGTATGGGACATATAAGATATAAAAAGGCCTTTGAATCATATATTTACTTACTGTTTCTCTGCACTTTTACAGCATTCCAACCTAAATTCACTTTGGGATTGGAAAATTGCCTCCGTAACAAATTGTATACAAGAGTCTTTTATGAGAACTTGATATTATGAATGCTTATATCTGTAGCTTGAAAAGGCTATGTTTTGAAAAGCATTGGAAAAGGCAAATGAAAGAACTTCTGCTTCCGCAATGAGACGCTAAAGTTCTTAAATCAAGGAATAAAGCACTACAAAAAGTTTAGGGAAATGGTGGAAAAAACTGCACATGACTTCATGATTTCGTGAAGTTACTAGAGAAGAAGTAAAAGTCTAACGAGAGGTTAAAGTGTTTAACTCTGCAAAAGGGAGAGCATTTCGTGCATGAGGAGCCAGCCTGCACAAGGGAGAGTTACCACATGCATGAAGAGGCAGCCGAATTATATTTCAGTTCTGGATAATTTGATATGTTGTAACCAAATTTTATGTTTTGTTTTTCTCACAACTTTATATGTTTCATGCCTATGGGAATAGAAACGATATTAATGATGACAAAATGATTAGTTTTGTCTCAAGTTATGCTCAAATAACAAGTGATAGTATTTGATAATAAGATTTGTCATTTAAGTTTATAAACACTTTCAATTTTAATTGAAAACACCCTAAAGAGTAAAGTTATTTCCTCCCGTGCAGAGTACGGGCTATAACACTAGTAAATTATGAAACGGAGGGAGTAACACAATGATTGGTTGTCAAATTGAGAGGAGTCCAACTTACGGATGACTATTAACAATGAAGTTTAGAAATTACTGACCAATATTCAAATCACCTAATAATCTGATTTACATGCAAAGTTGCAAACATTTGATGATATGAAAAGCTCCATTCATATGAAACTGCAACTCATTAATATAAAATATATTGATTAGTGTCTTTTATTAGCCTTGTTGTCAACAGCTAAAAGAGATATTTACTTACCAATAAAAGAGACCGTATATCCAATTCCGATTGATTAATGAAATCATGATTTATTAAGGAACAAATATTTGAGGTGGTAAATATATATAATGAACTAAATAACCGTTACAACGAAGAGATTCTTCTCCACTATCACATTATACATGGTACTTTCTAATTATATTAAAATCGGACTTAATTTAGAATTAAGTGATAACTATATTAAAATCGGACTTAATTTAGAATTAAGTGATAACTCTGTAAAATTAGAAAGCAAAACAAAACAAGAAAAACATATTAAAATCAATTGCACACAAAAAGTGACTTTGGTTGTGAATATATCCGTCCGTTGCGCCGAACATACTCTGTCGAATAGCGAACGTGTCGTTCTCTAGTTGGATAAACAGATCAGCATAGACGACCGTTGAGAGAACATGAGAAGCGAAACGTGGGACCTTAAAGAATATCTTTGTTTAATAGTAATTGTTTTGTTTTGCGATTTTGAGAATTTGCCAGGCTGGCAAATATGGGCCAGGTTGGATCATCTAACGGCTGTGGTTGGTTTCTCAGTTTACTGGTGGGGTCCATCATGTGACCGTTGCTAAGAGTCGGTGTGGACCACCTCTCAAGGCTAGGGTTTTTCTTCTCTGCATAAAGCTCCATTCTTTGTTCCTCCTCTCTCTTTCTCTGCTGCAGCTTAAACTTAAAAAAAAAAAAAACACAACAAGAAGAAGAAGACGAATCATCTTCTTTAGGTTCGGTAAAGAGATTCCAAGGAAGAATCTTTCCCAGTATCAGATAAAGTCTTATCATCTTCTTTAGGTTGGTTTCTCTCTTTGTTCTTCTCTTTAGAGGCAGTTAAAATTCGAGTCCTTTTTGGGTTTTAGTTCGATTGTCTCTCTTGATTTCTCGATTTTTATATCGATAAACTTAGAAAGCTTCGTATTTGAGCTAGGTTTCTCTTGTTTTTAGGTAAAAATATAGAAAGTTTCAATCTTTTTCCTGGAATTAGTTTGGTTAGTTCTGAGACAAGAAATTGAGTGAATTCCTTTTGTTTTGTTGTTTGAGTTCGTTTAATCGTTAGGGTTTAGCAAGAATTACGTTTTTGATGTATAGATCTCTACAAATCAGGAAGAAGAATTAGCTTGTTTCTTTAGATCTTAGTTTTAGGGTTATTACTACTCTGGTTGATTTTATAATTGGTGACTAAAATATTGTTTATAATCTTGGTTACAGGCTTTTAAGATGACTGCTGAAGTTAAGGTTGAGGAGAAACAGGTGGAGTCAGAGGTTGTTATTGCTCCTGCTGTTGTTCCTGAGGAGACTACTGTGAAATCTGTCGTGGAAGAGGAAGAAGTCAAATCTGTTGAAGAAGATGAGAGTAAGCCTAAGGGTGTGGAGAAGAGTGCTTCGTTTAAAGAAGAGAGTGATTTCTTTGCTGATTTGAAAGAATCTGAGAAAAAGGCTCTGGGTGATCTCAAGTCTAAGCTTGAGGAAGCTATTGTTGAGAACACTCTCTTAAAGACGAAGAAGAAGGAGAGCTCTCCTGTGAAGGAGAAGAAGGAAGAGGTGGTGAAACCTGAAGCTGAGGTTGAGAAGAAGAAGGAAGAAGCAGAGGAGAAGGTTGAAGAAGAGAAGAAATCTGAGGCTGTTCTTACCGAAGAAGCAGCGAAAGATGAGACTGTTGAGGTGGTTGCTGCAGAGGAGGTAATCCCCAAGGAAGAAGTGACGACTGTTGTTGAGAAGGTAGCAGAAGAAGATAGTAAGGAAGAAGAAGAGAAGAAAACTGAGGATGTTGTTACTGAAGAAGTGAAAGCTGAGACTATCGAGGTGGAGGATGAAGATGAGTCAGTGGATAAGGATATCGAGCTTTGGGGAGTGCCATTGCTACCAAGCAAAGGAGCTGAAAGCACAGACGTTATCCTCTTGAAGTTCTTGAGAGCAAGAGACTTTAAAGTCAATGAAGCCTTTGAGATGCTGAAGAAAACCCTCAAATGGAGAAAGCAACACAAGATTGATTTGATCCTTGGAGAGGACTTTGGGGAGGATCTTGCCTCTGCAGCTTACATGAACGGTGTGGACCGCGAGTCCCACCCAGTTTGTTACAATGTCCACAGTGAGGAGGTTTACCAGACGACATTTGGGTCAGAGAAGAACAGAGAGAAGTTCTTGAGATGGAGGTTTCAGCTGATGGAGAAGGGAATCCAGAAGCTTAATCTTAAACCAGGAGGTGTTACTTCTCTTCTCCAGATCCACGATCTCAAAAACGCTCCTGGAATGTCAAGAACAGATCTCTGGGTCGGAATCAAGAATGTAATCATGACTTTGCAGGACAATTATCCGGAATTCGTGTCCAGAAACGTGAGTTCATTCATTCATTCATCATTCGTTTTGGGATTCATTGATTTGGTCTACTGTCTTTTCTAATCATTGTTTGTTTCGTTCTGCAGATATTCATCAATGTTCCATTCTGGTTCTACGCCATCAATGCTGTCCTCTCGCCATTCTTAACTCAACGAACCAAGAGCAAGTTTGTTGTGGCTCGTCCAGCTAAGGTCAAAGAGACTCTTCTCAAGTACATTCCAGCTGATGAGCTCCCAGTTCAGTACGGAGGGTTCAAAACAGATGACGATACCGAATTCTCCAACGAAACTGTCTCTGAAGTTGTTGTTAAGCCTGGATCATCTGAAACCATCGAAATCCCAGCTCCTGAGGTAAATAACCTAGAAACCTAACCCTATATATCCTTCCACAAGTTGTTAACACTATCTTTCTAATAATGGTTATTTTTGTGGTTGTTTTCATAGACTGAAGGTACATTGGTATGGGACATAGCGGTTTTGGGATGGGAAGTGAATTACAAGGAAGAGTTTGTGCCAACAGAAGAAGGAGCTTACACGGTAATAGTCCAAAAGGTGAAGAAGATGGGAGCAAATGAAGGACCAATCAGGAACAGTTTCAAGAACAGTCAGGCTGGTAAGATTGTTCTTACGGTTGACAATGTCTCTGGCAAGAAGAAGAGAGTTCTGTACAGGTACAGAACCAAGACTGAATCCTCTTCCTGAAGTGGAGGCTTTCAAGTAGTCTCTGGATATATAATATTCTTTTTCTAAATTTTAAAAGTTTGGTGTTATTATTATTTTTGAGTGATATGTGCGAGAAAGAGATACTGCCATTATTTCATTGAAATTCAATCTTTTGCTTCTTTGTTATGACTTATGAGATATTATTCTCGGGAAAATTCCAAAAAAAAACCTCAATTATTTTTTATTTGGACGTTTAATACCCAATTGTTTTCGGTTGGAAGAAAAATACACATATTAATAAAATTGTGCGATTTAATATCCAAACAATTAAATGTTGTTATTTTCATACTCACGATCTCACAACAAAAATAAAATTCCAATTTTACCCTTACTATCTCAATTAATTATTAACTTTTAGATTACGTGACAATAGTTTTTTATTTAAAGAAAAATTAATTTTATTAATATTTCATTTCTTTGTTATCCCAAAAAAAATTCAAAAAAAATTTCAAAATAATTTGCAGTTTATTTTACAAATATTTAATTTTTAAAAATTAAAAATAAAATTAATTAGCAAAAATTTTAGAAAAAGTAAAAAAAAAATAGCCATTTTTATGAATTGATAAATCTTGAGAGAGACGATGAGATTCGGATTGAGATTTTGTCGAAAATAGTTTCATTCGTGAAGGATTTATATTCGAATAGAGAGTTTCTCACGACGAAGAAAAAGTTCATATTGATGCTCGTTGATATCATATACATCACGACGAATCAAATCAAATTAGTTTTATTGGCGATGAAGATTTTGGATAGGATTAAAAGGAGATTGTGAACGGTTATCGAATTTGATGGTTGCAAAAGAGGACGATGGAGATTGTTTACCGGTAATTCTCGTAGATATTAATCGAAAAAATTAGAATCGAAGAGGAAACGTCTCTTTGACATTGCAAAGACGGAATAAGATTGTACAAATGACTATTTTTAATTTTTGTGATTTTCTGCTAATTTTTATGTTTAATTTTAAAATAAAATAATTATATAAATTTAAAATTTATTTTTTAGGCAACATAAAATAAAACATTAACAAAATTAATTTTTATTTATATAAAAAATAATACCACGTTATTTAAAAGTAAATAATTAATTGAGATGATAAGGGTAAAATTGGAATATTTTTTTTGTTGTGAGTTCGTGAGTATGAAAATAACAACATTTAATTGTTTGGGTATTAAATCGCATAGTTTTATTAGTATGTGTATTTTTCTTCCAACCGAAAACAATTGGGTATTAAACGTCCAAATAAAAAATACATGAGGTTTTTTTTGGGAATTTTCCCTATTATTCTCTCTTCCGTTTCTATTTTGATTTATTTATTTTTTGATTAAAATTTGTATGGATAAATAAATATGTTCGAATGTTTTCAGAGTTTTATATGGGCTGAGTAATGGCCCAATGGCTTTTCAGAGTGACTATCGAAAGGCCCATTTTATGTAATTTGTTTCTTTGGTCACATTTGATTTATGATTAAGAGAACTAGAGAAGAGTACATGTCATCTCATCGCTCTGACCCATTTTTAAATTATATATAACGCTGAGGAAGATAAAATTTATAGACCTATGGTTTCTCTATCGAATAATAATTTTACCTTCCTCATCGTTGATGTTTCTTGGATAACTTTAGATATATACATAAAAAAAACACACTAAAGAAATATGATATGTTATGGATGGTTGTTCTGAAAGGTTTTACAGAGAATAAAATAGTTGTTGAAATAATTCTCGCTTGGCCCCAAAACAAAAACATCCAAAAGAGGAATGGTTTAATGAATAATAACTCTTTTTTGTCTTTTGATTCAACAGACATCATATTATAAACCCAAAAACCGAAAAAAATGAAATTCGGATGGAAAAAAAAAACATATTTACTCTTTCCAAAGTTAAGAAAGGCATCATCTTATATACTCCCTCCGTTTCGTTTTAGTTGTCGTTTAAGGTTTTTGCACACAAATTAAGAAAATCATTAAATTTTTTGTTTTACCCTTTATTAATATATTTTATAATTTTTTCATTGGTCAAAACATTAAAACATTAATGACAAAACATTAATTTTCACCAAACATTTGCATTGAAAACCTAAAACGACAACTATTATGAAACAAAATTTTAATCCTAAAACGACAACTAAACTGAAACGGAGGGAGTAGTTACTTAAGAAAAACATAATTACTTATGAGATCACTACTCATCTTTTTAAAAACATTGCTTCAAAGAAATTATGTTAAGAAAAACATAATTACTCTATCCAAACATAATTACTTATGAGATCACTACTCATCTTTTTTACAAACATTGCTTCAATAAAATCTAATGATACCTTGCAGTCTTGTAGAAGATTAGGAATTATGTAGCAAACTAACTACTCTTGATATACACAATCACTTATCATTTATCAGATCAATAAATAAAATTCTGAGCACTTTTTTCAGGTTAGAAGAAAGTGACCCTCGTTTAAAAATTGAAACCATTAGAAAATCTATGCCTAAGAGATAAATTCTGCCCAAGCCTCTGTAGCACCTCGGTGCGTTCCTACCGAGGCCGACCGGATCAGCCGATAGGGTTTATAAAAAAAAAAAAAATAAAAAAAAAATAAGAGATAAATTCTAGCTACAAAATCATCCATTGTAGCAAATGTTTTTTATTGTTTTGTTTGGATAGAAGGTTAATCATTGTAGAAAACGTTGCTTTCGGAAACACTTTAAATTTGGGTTATGGCCTTATGGGTCAATTAGTTAGATTTCAAAGATGTAAAAAATATCCTTAATTAGACTACTTATGTTCCCATCGCTAATGCATGTGTGTGACTTACCTTAAATGGAACTACGCGGCAAAAAGAAAGAGTGCCACAAAATCTACTCTTTGTGTTGTTATTGGTGCATATCAGTGGATGAAGATTAGGGCTCGAACCGATTCATTGGCCAAAAAAAAAACATAAGATTACTACTTTTGTTATAAAGTAAAGTCAATATTGCAGAATTTCCTCAAGTGATTACGACACCACGACGCATGTATGGCATCATTAAAGAAAAGGATTATAGATGACTAGACGCACTGATCCTTCTTCCTTTTTTTTCTGATGAATTATAATTTTACTATATAAAAAATTGTAACTTGTGATAGATTTGCACTCCTCCTCCTATAAATGCGTTCGTCAACATCTTTGCTTTCGTACGGTAAAACGACATCTCTCGTTGAAACAAATTTCGTTTGATCATTTTAGTCTTTTATTTGTATAAGAATTGTTTGTATAGAATATTTTCAAAAACGTTTGTTGCATTTTTTTTTTGGTATCAATGTTAAATATTTATACTATTTTCACAAGTTTTTGACAAAATGTTATAGAAAAATACAAGGAGCAGAAAAGAAAAAAAAAAAACTTAAAAGCACAACAAAAACTACAACACAACAAACACAACACAAATAGTTAACAACAAGAAAACATAAGCGAAAATTCTACGAACAGAGCCTCGAAAAAAACGTTGATTTTGAACCACGAAACTCGGATATTTACGTGATATTCTCCGCAGCTCGAAAGAGTTAAGAGTTCTCGTCGTTGTCTCCACTAGTCCTCATCATTGTTGCATTTTTTGATGGACAACTTAATTATGCTAGCTACTCTCTAATCTATAGGCTAACATGCGTGTATGCAATATTTTTTTTGGCAATATCAATATACTTTAACAAAAAATATCAGTATCCTTTTCAGCATATTACTGATATAATCAATTAAAATCGGCCCCAATGATAATACTTCGGTCAACAAAATGAAAGTCAAACCAGCCGCTCAAATGTATCCTTCATGAGTTCATGTTATCTTTCAGTCAATAATTGATATGTTGTGTTTTTATCGGTTTTGAGTCTTTGTTTTCTTTCTTACATCATATGTTTTATCGAGTCAAAGTGTGTTTTTAGAGTCTTTTAGTCGTTTATCGAGTCTCTACAGGTTTTAGGTTGCTTCGGAGGAAAACGAGCTGTTTTGGGATATAAACACACTTTTGGAGATGCAGTTTCGTTTAGAAGTGTCAGACGTTTGGCCTCAGATGGAATACTTCCCACCGTTAGATCTTTCTGCATTTTTGACACAAGTTAGATGAAGATGTTAGCTTGAGTTTACAAGTGGTTTGAAGGAAATCTAACGGTGCATTCAAGAGTTATACCCGAATTAGTGAAGACAGGTCATTCTGCCGAGCATTTGAAGCAGTTGCGGAGTTGGAGACCAGAAGATCCAGATCGATCGATCCACTTGTGGATCGATCGATCCCATCCTCTGACGGACGAGAAGCAGTTTCCAGTGACTCGGGATCGATCGATCCACCCACCGGATCGATCGATCCCTTCCCCAGACGTATTTTTGGCCCAGATTTGACCCGATTCACTCCAGATCCGACCCGGCTCGTTTCCTATTGTTTTAAAACCCTATGCTCGACTCTTTACAGATTATCTTTCATATTTTTCAGTTCTAAACTTGGTTCTTTGGTTTGTAAACAACCTTGGGCAAAGGAATCCATCCTCTTGACACTTGGAGAAGATTTCTAAACCCTTTCTTGTTATTTCTACAATTTCATCATGTTTTCTTCATTGATTTTTGTCATCTCTTTTTCTATGTGTGAGTAGTTCTCAATTGGGTTTTAGGGTTCTAATTAGGAGATTCAATGGATTAATAGATTGATTGCTATTAGGAATTCTCATTCTCTAGGTTCTTTGATTCACATGTTCTTAATGCTAGAATAGGATTGATCACCCTGTTGTAGATTCTAGGTTTTTCTATGCATCAAAAGTGTTCGATAGAATGCCTGAAAGAATGTGGATTGAGCAATGTATTTCTAGCCAACGAAAGTTGACGTTAGGACGCATTGTGAACTTAATGAACTTGTTTGGTAATGCGAATTTGACTAGGAAATTGCATGCGAAAGTTTAGTAATCGAATAGTCAAATTTAGTGATTAATGTCTTGAAAGAGAATTGGTTTAAATGTGTTCATGTTCGAGAACGGTTCTTAATTATTGAATTCCTGGTTTCATATTTCCATTATTCGTTGATCTCTGAAATACCCTAATGTCCAATGTCTTTAAATCTTGAAGTTAAATCGTTTAATTTATTTGCATTTTTATTTTACAATTCTGAAAACCAAACAAACAACCTTTTCGCTTTAGCTAAGAACGAGTCTCGGAAATCTTTAGAGTATCTTTGGTCCTTGTGGATCGACCTCGAATATACTACCTAGCGGTTAGATATTTCGGGTAATTACTCGAGCAATCAATAATTCTCATATATAAACACTTCTTGTAAATTATTTCCATTAAAATTATAATTTTTTGGATTTTACGTAACAACTGCAGATTCATATGCTGATATATATGAGTCTCACCTAAATCATTTATATTTCTAAATTCATAGAGGCAGTGTATGTGTTGACCCAACATCGAATGCTCACTTACGAAAATTTTCTTTGGAACAAGCTTGAATCTTTACTCACAAATTTAATTATCCGATGATCATTTATTAAATGTTATCGAGATTAGTCCAAACCAAAAGAGATTATGAGCCTAAGATTTTGAATTTTATTGGTAAAAGAAATTGAACGATAAACGTTACATAAGTCAAGTAGTGCCTAGCTATAATAGTTTTAAGAAAGAAAAAAAAATCGGTTAACTACTTCCCAGAGACATACTTCTCATTTTGATTTTGAATCCAGTCTAATTTTGAAAAGTACATTCAAATCTTTAAATCCATTAGTGATATCTATATTATTATACGTTGACACACGCAATTGTATATACATTATTCTTGAATTTTAAATATAAATTCTAGAATATATTACGATCACCAGACTGATCAAAATCTTTGGGACAACTTGAACCCGCATTTGACTTTTCTTGGTCAAATATTTTGGCATCATGCATAATCTTCTCTATAAAAACCAAAAGGCCTCAACGACATTCATTAACTCAATCAATCATTTATTTTAATTGTATTTCAACGTTCAATCTCTAAAAATGAAATATACATTGATTCTTTTTCTCCTTTTCGTTGTCTTCATATGGCAATCAAGCTCATCATCAGCAAACTCGGAGACTTTCACACAATGCCTTACCTCAAACTCCGACCCCAAACATCCCATCTCCCCCGCTATCTTCTTCGCCGGAAACCGCTCCTACTCCTCCGTATTACAAGCCAACATCCGTAACCTCCGCTTCAACACCTCCTCCACTCCCAAACCCTTCCTCATAATCGCCGCAACACATGAATCCCATGTGCAAGCCGCGGTTACTTGCGGCAAACGTCACAATCTTCAGATGAAAATCAGAAGCGGAGGCCACGACTACGACGGTTTGTCATACGTTACGTACTCTCAAAAACCGTTCTTCGTCCTTGACATGTTTAATCTCCGGTCCGTTGATGTTGACGTGGCGAGTAAAACCGCATGGGTTCAAACCGGTGCCATTCTTGGAGAAGTTTATTACTATATATGGGAGAAGAGCAAAACCCTAGCTTATCCCGCTGGGATTTGTCCGACGGTTGGTGTCGGCGGCCATATTAGCGGTGGAGGTTACGGTAACATGATGAGAAAATACGGTCTCACCGTAGATAATACCATCGATGCAAGAATGGTCGACGTCAATGGTATAATCACTATCCCTAGCTTCATCATTTTATATGCTAATTAAATTTTATAGTATCAATGAAGGTCCTAAAAGATCAACAAACTCATTCGGATAATGATTTTGGTCACATCGATTAAAAACATAAAATTAACCAAGCAATCAATTTAGACAATCACTTATAGTATCAAGTATCAACCTTAGACATAATTCTAATTTTTGGTTACATTTTTATTTACCTGAATATTTATATCTATATGTTCTCACTATCTTTCCCTTTTATATTTGAAAATTTTCAGGAAAAATTTTGGATAGAAAATTGATGGGAGAAGATCTCTATTGGGCAATAAACGGAGGAGGAGGAGGAAGCTACGGCGTCGTTTTGGCCTACAAAATAAACCTCGTCGAAGTCCCTGAAAACGTAACCGTTTTCAGAATCTCCCGGACGTTAGAGCAAAACGCGACGGAGATTGTTAACCGGTGGCAACGAGTCGCACCGGAGCTTCCCGACGAGCTCTTCATAAGAACAATCATCGACGTAGTAAACAGCACCGTTTCATCTCAAAAGACCGTCAGGGCATCATTCATAGCTATGTTTCTTGGAGACACAACAACGCTTCTGTCGATATTAAACCGAAGATTCCCCGAATTGGGTTTGGTCCGGTCTGACTGTACCGAAACAAGCTGGATCCAATCTGTCTTATTCTGGACGAATATCCAAGTTGGTTCGTCGGAGAAACTCCTACTCCAAAGGAATCAAACCGTGAATTACCTCAAGAGGAAATCAGATTACGTACGTGAACCGATTTCAAGAACCGGTTTAGAATCGATTTGGAAGAAAATGATCGAGCTTGAAATTCCGACAATGGCTTTCAATCCATACGGTGGTGCGATGGGGAGGATATCATCGACGGTGACTCCGTTCCCATACAGAGCCGGGAATCTTTGGAAGATTCAGTACGCAGCGAATTGGAGAGAAGATAGGTTAACCGACCGGTACATGGAATTGACGAGGAAGTTGTACCAATTCATGACACCATTTGTTTCCAAGAATCCGAGACAATCGTTTTTTAATTACCGTGATGTTGATTTGGGGATTAATTCTCATAATGGTAAAATGAGTAGCTATGTGGAAGGTAAACGTTACGGGAAGAAATATTTCGCAGGAAATTTCGAGAGATTGGTGAAGATTAAGACGAGAGTTGATAGTGGTAACTTCTTTAGGAATGAGCAGAGTATTCCTGTGTTACCATAAGTGTATATTTGATTATTGATTAGTGATATTTGTTGTTGAATAATGATTATATGTATTTAGTAATTTATAAAGTTTGATATTAAATACAAATCGTATAATAAATAAGATGAAAATTTGATTATTTTGATAAAGAAATACGATCATACTGTTCTACGTAGTTTAAGTACTTATTTTAGTTTGTAAGCACATATTTTTGCCATATTAATAACAAATTATATTATTGGTAACATTTTTGATTGATCAATAAATAAATATGGTTTGTAAAAAAAAAATATTTTTAGTTTATACAGCTAAAAATAGCTATTGATTATGTCTGGATTCATATGATATTAAAATCTTTGATTAGATAATATACTTAATTAATGGAGATTGCACTCTCTCTTTTTCTTTTTCTTTTTTTTGATGAAACAGATTGCATTCTTGACAAAAGTGATCAATTATTTAAAGAAACAAAAAAAGCAAAAACATAAGATTTTTTAGTTTAGAAAACTGCTATTAATTAAAATCTATACGATCTTCAAAATTGAAACTAATCAAATAATATTCAAGTCTTTCATATTTTTTTCCTTTCCGGCAAAAAAGATACAGATTAAGATCATGCCATTTGTTTAGAATCTTCGATCTTGTTTCTATTAAAGTTCAAAAAATAGACCGGATAAAGTTGAGCTTATAAATTAGGATTATATAAAACAGATATAGATATGAATCGCCATATTAAGCATTAAACCTCCATATTGAGTAATTGCTAATTTACAAAGATATAAAATCTGCCAAAAAGATATGTATATACAAGAATAGCCGATTCTATTCATGTCAAATTAACAAATATATAAGAATACAAACCCCGAAACAAATCTTTCAAACCAATACTCAACAAAAGAGAAGAAGAATGGCATCTCTAACAACTCAAACCCTAATCATCACCATTTTTTTTCTCGCAATCCCAAGATCATTCTCATCACCACCATCACTCGAAGACGTTTTCGCACAATGCTTAGCCGATTTTAAACCTTCAAATCCAAAATCCCCAATCCAAAACTTCATCTACACTCAACAAAGCCCTAACTTCCTCACAATCCTTAACAACTACGTCCGTAATCTTCGTTACTTCAACAACACGACACGTAAACCCGTCGCGATTGTAGCTGCCGCGGATGTCACTCACATCCAGGCTACGATCACTTGCGCCAAGAATCTCGGCCTCCAGCTCCGGATCCGCAGTGGAGGTCATGACTACGACGGTATGTCGTATTTATCAACCATTGATTTCGTTGTCCTAGACATGTTCAATCTCCGGTCTATCAATATAGATCCTAAACTCGACACCGCGTGGGTCCAATCTGGTGCTACGCTTGGAGAGATCTACTACGGAGTCGCCAACAAAAGCAATGATCTTCGTGGATTTCCTGCCGGAATCTGTCCTGGTTTAGGCGCTGGTGGACATTTTAGCGGTGGCGGTTACGGAAACATGATGAGAAAATATGGTTTATCGATCGATAACATTATAGATGCTAAGATCGTTGACGCTAAAGGAAGAGTCTTGGACCGGAGCTCAATGGGAGAAGATCTTTTTTGGGCCTTACGTGGTGGTGGAGCAGCTAGTTTCTGTGTTGTCTTAGCTTGGAAGATTAAGCTTGTTCCGGTGCCGGCTAAAGTCACAGTCTTCAACGTTGAAACCGTTGGAAACAGAGGAAGCGTGAACACCACGGAACTTGTAGCCAAATGGCAAGAGATCGCAGACAAGATTGACTATGATCTGTTCATAAGATTAACTTTAGGCTCAAGCAACAAAACCGTGAAGGCTTCTTTCATGGGAATGTACCTAGGAAACTCATCGAAGCTTCTAGAAATCATGAACGCGAGATTCCCTGAGCTTGGTCTGAACAAAACAGAGTGTATAGAAATGAAATGGATCGAATCAGTTCTGTTCTGGCTCGGTATCCCACCAGGTACAGCACCAACAACGACTATGCTAAACCGGATCCCGCAAAAGCAAATCTACCTCAAGAGAAAATCCGATTACGTCCAAAAACCGATTTCAAGAACCGGTTTAGAGTCGATATTCAAGATCCTGACAGAGAACGAGAACGTGACAATGGCTTTTAACCCTTATGGAGGGAGGATGAGCGAGATTCCATCAACCGAGACGGCTTTCCCGCACAGAGCAGGAAACATGTTCAAGATTCAGTACGCAGCAAACTGGTTTGTGCCAGGGGAAGCAGTGGCTAAGGATTGCTTGAGCCAGACGGAAAGAGTGTTCGAGGCAATGAGCCCTTACGTGTCAAAGAATCCAAGAGAGGCGTTTTTGAACTATAGAGACGTCGACATTGGAAAGAGCTTGAATTCGACGTATGAGGAAGGTAAAGTGTACGGAGTTAAGTATTTTAAGGATAACTTCGAGAAATTGGTTAAGATCAAGAGCAGAGTTGATCCCGACAACTTTTTCCGGTACGAGCAGAGCATTCCAGTGCTCTCCAGCCACTAGAGACTAGAGACACACTTCTATTGACAAGTTTTACCAAAATTTATATTTAAAAATTCACATGCAAGATATAATATAAGTATTTGATGTAAAATGCGAAGAGTTTTTGAGCTCTCTGTTTTTTATCGAATTCAGACTTAAACCTCTGTCTTTGATTAGAAGATGAGGTAGTCAATTGTTTTCCTGTATATGTATTATGTACTTTCGAAATTTATATTTATATGACAAAAAAATATGTCTTTTTTACTTTTCTTTATTTTCACTCCAGTAAGAAATGTGTTGGAATTGTCAATTGGAACACAAAATTCATTAATTAGTCATAATGGAAAAGAACAAATAAATAAGTTTTTAACTATATGCATGATTGCATGTAATTATTTGACTTTTACAAACTATATTTAGTTTTACTATACATCAGCCAAGCACTATGTGTTAAAAGATAATATGTCAACTTATGAATATATACATGTCCTTAAAAAAAAATGAATTTTTACATGTCCTTTTAAAAAAATGAATTTTTACATGTCATTCAAAGAGAGTCATCGTTTATTTTCTTATATGGAGGATAACACACCCACATGCACGCAAGATGATATATTTATTGGCTAAGATAATCACCGAAAACGGTCAACGCATAATTTGATAAACAAGACTTGCACGATACATAGATCTGGAATTCTGGATCATATACATAAATAATCTCAACATATACAAATGATTTAAAAAAAAACTCGATCCGTACTAGCTCACGCCTAAGCTAAATTAAAAACCATCTATTAATCTCCAAATCTTTCATATATATGAACACTGCAAACTATAAACTTTGAAAAGTCATATATAGATAATGACGCGTTATCGGCTATCGCTTACCGGAGTGCTCATAAATACAATAACAATACGTAAGAGTCAAAGTCAAATAATATTTAGTCCACTATAACCTTTAATCGGGCAAAACCTTTAGCTGTCTCAAAACAAACGTGAAATAAATAAATGTATATATGACGTCAAAAATGTGTATATATCCGGGAGATTTTTTTCAAGAATCAGTGTATAGAGAGAATGATTTAATCCCTAATCCTTACAATTAAAATTTTGGTGTTAAAAACAAAAAAAAAAACATTTCTACTAGTTTGATTATTTGTTTTGATCTCTAGTAATTTCTCATGAACCTATAGAGGGAAATAGATAGTTTCGAAAACTTTGTCTGATTAACTTTTGAAAACTACTGTCTACTTTACTAAAAGTCTAAAACTATCTATACTAATCTATTTCACTTAGGTTCGGATAAGATTGTCGGACTCTCACTTAATTCATTGACAATCTTTGATATTATAGAAAAAAATTACTTAATCTCTTTTCTATATAAAAACTCAAACACGAGCTTTCAGAAATATAATCCAAACTCCCAAAAATAAACAGAGCAAAAAATGGAGAAATGGCTCGTGATCTCTCTTCTACTACTGATCTCAACATCAATCACAACTTCACAATCCGTGACCGATCCAATAGCTTTCCTTCGATGTCTCGATAGACAACCAACGGACCCAACAAGTCCTAACTCCGCCGTCGCTTATATCCCAACAAACTCTTCCTTCACTGCCATCCTCCGCCGCCGTATACCAAACCTCCGTTTCGACAAACCCACTACTCCTAAACCCGTCTCCGTCGTTGCAGCCACCACGTGGACACATATACAAGCTGCTATAGGATGCGCACGTGAGCTCTCTCTCCAAGTCAGGATCAGAAGTGGTGGCCACGATTTCGAAGGACTCTCTTACACTTCCACTGTCCCTTTCTTTGTCCTCGACATGTTCGGTTTTAAATCCGTGGACGTGAATCTCACCGAGAGGACGGCTTGGGTCGATTCCGGTGCTACCGTCGGAGAGCTTTATTACCGGATAGCTGAGAAGAGCAATGTTCTTGGATTTCCGGCGGGTTTATCTACGACACTGGGCGTTGGTGGACATTTTAGCGGCGGAGGTTACGGTAATATGATGAGAAAGTATGGATTGTCGGTGGATAATGTTGTTGGCTCCGGGATCGTTGATTCGAACGGGAATATCTTCACCGATCGGGTTTCGATGGGGGAAGACCGTTTCTGGGCAATTCGAGGAGGTGGTGCAGCGAGCTACGGTGTTGTACTCGGCTACAAGATCCAGCTAGTACCGGTTCCGGAGAAAGTTACTGTTTTTAAAGTTGTAAAAACCGTCGGAGAAGGAGCCGTTGATCTCATAATGAAGTGGCAGAGTTTTGCTCATAGTACCGATCGGAATTTGTTCGTGAGGTTGACGTTGACTTTGGTCAACGGTACGAAGCCCGGTGAGAAGACGGTTTTGGCTTCGTTTACTGGGATGTATTTAGGCCGGTCGGATAAGCTGTTGACCGTGATGAACCGGGATTTCCCGGAGTTGAAGTTGAAGAAAACCGATTGTACCGAGATGAGATGGATCGATTCGGTTCTGTTTTGGGACGATTATCCGGTTGGTACACCGACTTCTGTGCTGCTAAACCCGGTCGCAAAAAAGTTGTTCATGAAACGAAAATCTGACTACGTGAAGCGTCCGATTTCGAGAGCCGGCATCGATTTGATACTCAAGAAATTGGTAGAGGTTGAGAAAGTTAAAATGAATTGGAATCCGTATGGAGGAAGGATGGGTGAGATCCCGAGTTCGAGGACACCTTTCCCACATAGAGGAGGCAATTTGTTCAACATTGAGTATATCATAGACTGGTCAGAAGCTGGAGATAATGTGGAGAAAAAGTATTTGGCACTCGCGAGTGAGTTATACAGATTCATGACCCCGTACGTGTCTAGTAATCCAAGGGAGGCGTTTTTGAATTACCGTGACCTTGACATAGGGTCAAGTGTTAAGTCCACGTACCAGGAAGGTAAAATCTATGGGGTTAAATATTTCAAAGACAATTTTGAGAGACTAGTGGATATTAAAACCACGATCGATGCGGAAAACTTTTGGAAAAACGAACAAAGCATTCCGGTTCGAAGTTAATAAGTTCAAGACGAATGTTGTGAGTTGTGATCCGATCCTGTGACATGTATCAAGACTTTTAGTAAATAAAAAAAGGAAAAGAAAGAAATGTATTAAAATCTTTGGTTCTATTTGTTATTAATAAATGTATTAAAGAAATGTATTATGAACTATATTTATCAAAAAATGTTGTATCATGGAGTACAGTTAATGAACAAAATCTGACATACATTACTAATTGCGCTGCTCCATTTTTTAAATGTTACAAATAAATATAATTATATGGTTCCACTGATCATACTATGGTAAAACTAAAAAAGAAAAGAACACAGTTTTAATCTTTTGATACCACTATATGTTAGTACCATTTTTGTGATTATTAACTAATAAAACTGTAAAACGTTACCAATTACAAACTCACTGTCATGACGACCGCTATCAAACTTCTGAATTTTTTACATGTCAAGTGTTTTCGTTTATTTCTTACATGACAGGATAAGTATAAGTGTATAACACACTCACACATGCACGCAAAGATGTATACATTCATTGACCAAGACATTCAACGTTTCTCTATATACTACGGACAACGCGGGATTTGATAAAACAAGACTTGCACGATACACAGATCTGCTCAAATACATATTCCTTAATTTTAGATATAAAAAAAAGTTCGGTCCGTACTTCATCATGCTTAAGCTACAAATATATCTATTAATCTCCTAAATCTTGCATATATAAGAGCATCATTATAAAGGCAAGCTCTTATAGAAATCTTAAGCTTTTCTTAACATTTAATGCAATATAATTTAATCAACTTTGTGCTTTAATGTTAAGAAACGTTCCTTAGCTAAGGAACGTTCCTTAGCTAAGAGCCCTGTTCTTAAAATCTCCGCCTATCCCGATTACTCCCCGCTTAATCGCTAGACCTACCCTATCCGCCTCGATTAATGACTAATCCCCTAAAGAAATCAGTTACCCGATTACTCTCCGTCTAATCCGATTACTTCTCGCCTAATCCGATTACTCCCCGCCTAATTTTACATATCCCGATTATTTTTAGATTTCAAGTATAAAACATTTATGCTTTCTGTAATTTATGTTATAAATTGTATCTCATGTATGTTTTATTTTTTTTAATTTGCAACTATTATTAAATTTTCTATAATTATAAATTTTATTTTTATGTTAATTTTTTTTTTTTAAGAACCACATGTTAAGAGCCTACCATTAATCACACAAAAATCTTAACTCAAAAATACTATCTCTTAACAATCACTTTTACACATATATTACTTAAATATTGCTAAGAGATATTTCTAAGATACTACCAATAATCATGCTCTAATATGAACACTACAAACAATAAACTTTGAAAAGTCATATATTTAGATAATATAATGACGCGTTTTGGCTATCCGGAATGCTCAAGTCAAAGTCAATTATATATAGTCCACTATAACATTTAATCCGGACTAATAACTTTAGCTAGAATAGAACGCGTGAAACAAAATTTGTATATACATGTTTTTATAACCACAAATCTCATACCAAAACCCATATTAATTACTGAATTACTTCTAACCCAAGCAATATTGCCTAATGGTAACTGGACCTAGGATCTACGGAAGTGAACGTATTCATCTAATTTCAATGTGCTTGAAATCAATTCTCACTAGGAACAAAACTACTTAGTTTTGTCCACTTGAGCTTCAAGGTTTTGGTCCAGATGCTTAACATGTGGTGGGTTTCGGAAACTTTTGCTAAGAGACTTGCTTAACCCCAATAATGATCGGCGTTGATCCCTAATTTCGATTCTAAAATAACAGCAACCGGATATCCGAAGCTAATAGAAATTTGTTTGATATCTATAGTGGCAACACATATTTCAACATAACGATATGAAATATGGGATAATTCAATTTTCTCATTTTTAAATCTACAGAAAACATCTTCCTAAATAAGAATGTTCACTTAGATAAGATGGTGGGACTAAAATAGTTACTTACTTGTAATTTGTAAGCTTTGACATTGAATAATTGTTTAATTTTGGGCGACACATTGAAGGATAATTAATCAACTTTGTAAAACTTTAACTACAAAAAAGTCATAGAAAAAAAGAATTGTTAACTAAAGTGTACTATTGAACAAATGAGAACCTTGGATTTACCCAAAAAGGATTGTTTAAACAGAAGTGTACTATTACAGTATTACCAAGTTTTTTTTTTCTTTGGCGCAGATATTTGTATACAAAATTAATCCACCATCAAATACAAGAAGAGATTTCAATATACAAAAGAAAATCAAATAAATTAAAATAGGGCTGGTTGCATTTTTAAATTTTTTTTTGCCAGCTGATTGTTTACAGAAGTATACTATAATAAGAGAAATAAATAATTCATTGAACAGATAAGAACCTTGGACTTGGATCACTAAAACCCTCTCTATATAACAAACACAACACAAGCTTTACAAAATATATAATCCAAACTCCCAAAAATAAACATCAAAATAAAAATGGAAAAATTACTCATAATTTGCCTGTTACTAATCTCAGTTTCAGTTGCAACTTCACAGTCCCAAACCGATCCAGAGACTTTCCTCCGATGTCTCGTAAGAGAAGGATCAAACCCTCAGGTTTTCATCTCCGACGTCACCTACATCCCATCAAACTCCTCTTTCACCACCGTCCTCCGCCGCCGCATACCTAACCTCCGTTTCGACAAACCCACCACCCCAAAACCCATCGCCATCATCACCCCTACCACATGGTCACACATTTCTCCGGCGCTAGCTTGCGCACGCTTGCTTCCTGTCCAAGTCAGAATCCGAAGCGGCGGTCATGATTTCGAAGGACTCTCTTACACCTCCACCGCTCCGTTCTTTGTCATCGACTTGCTCAACTTCAAATCCGTTGACGTGAATCTCACGGAAGGAACGGCTTGGGTTGATACCGGCGCTACACTCGGAGAGCTATATTATAAAATCGCTGAGAAAAGCAATGTTCTTGGGTTTCCGGCGGGTTTGTGTACTACATTGGGTATTGGTGGACATATTAGCGGCGGAGGGTACGGAACTATGATGAGAAAGTACGGTTTGTCGGTGGATAACGTTGTCGGCTCCAGGATCATCGACTCTAACGGGAATACCTACTTCGATCGAATGTCCATGGGGGAAGAGCTTTTCTGGGCGGTTCGAGGAGGTGGAGCGGCGAGTTTCGGCATCGTGATGGGATACAAAATCCGGTTGGTTCCGGTGCCGGAGAAAGTAACGGTTTTTAGCGTCGGAAAAACCGTCGGAGAAGGAGCCGTTGATCTTATAATGAAGTGGCAGAATTTTTCTCACAGTACGGATCGGAATTTGTTCGTGAAGCTGACTTTGACTTTAGTCAACGGTACAAAGCCGGGTGAAAAAACGGTTTTAGCGACTTTCATTGGGATGAATTTAGGCGGGTTGGATAAGACGTTGAACGTTATGAACCGGGACTTCCCAGAGTTAAAGCTGAAGAAAACCGATTGTACCGAGATGAGATGGATCGATTCGGTTCTGTTTTGGGCCGGTTTTCCGATTGGCACACCGACTTCTGTGTTACTAAACCCTAGAGTTACAAAAAAGTTGTTCATGAAACGGAAATCAGACTACGTGAAGCGTCCGGTTTCGAGAACCGGCCTCGGTTTGATACTGAAGAAATTGGTTGAGGTTGATAAAGTTGAAATGAATTGGATTCCATATGGAGGAAGAATGGGGGAGATCCCGAGTTCGAGGACACCTTTCCCACATAGAGGAGGAAATTTGTTCAACATTGAGTATATCATAGACTGGTCGGAAGCTGGAGATGACGTGGAAAAGGATCATTTGGCAAGTGCAAGTGAGATGTACAAATTCATGACCCCATACGTGTCTAGTAATCCGAGGGAGGCGTTTTTGAATTACCGTGATCTCGACATAGGGTCTGGTGTTAATTCCACGTACCAGGAAGGTAAAATCTATGGGACTAAATATTTCAAAGATAATTTCGAAAGGTTAGTGGATATCAAAACCAAGTTCGATGAGATAAACTTTTGGAGGAACGAACAAAGTATTCCGGTTCGAAAGTAATAACACGAGTGTTGTGACTTGTCACTTGTGATATGTATTAAAATTTTCAGCAAAATAAACTAGGATATGTATTAAGATTTAATTTGCTTCCATGTATCGTTGTCAAATGTATCATGAATTGATCTCTGAATTGATGATAATAAATACAAGTGGTTGTTCTCCTACATTGCTAATGATTTTGAATGGAAAGATCATAAATCATATTAACACATATGTCTTTAATCTTTTGTGTATTTCATGCACACTTCTGATTTTGTTTACATAAATTTAGATATCATTATGATTTCAAGATTTGGCTGATTAATTCTTGATTATATCCTACCATTTTTGTTTCAAAATATCACAATTCAACGTTTTTATGTACCCTCGCCAATTCCCATAATTTTTTTAATTAGATGTCCTAATATTACGTCAAATTTTAGTTAAATAACATAAACTTACCAATTATTACCATTGTCAGAGTTGGAAATATTTGACCGAAAAATCAAAAGAACCACACTATCTCAAATAGCCAAAAATTCTCTATTAATCCAAATATCTAACAAAAAAGTCAAAAGTGAAAAATATATAAAAATAAAAGAATGGACAAAATCTATCTTTTAACATAAACTTACTAATTACTACCATTGTCAAAGTTGGAAATATTTGACCGAAAATTCAAAAGTAACCACACTTTCTCAATTAGCCAAAAAAAATTATCTATTAATCCAAATCTCTAACAAAAAACTCAAAATTGAACAATAAAATAAAATAAAAGAATGGACAAAATCTATCTTTTCTTTCTTCTCTTCTTCGCTGCATCGTCCTCTATATCATTGAGTTCTGCAGATTCCGTAACTATCTACGAAGATTTTGTCCGATGTTTCAAAAACGTGACAAGTATCACCGACGATGATCTCTCCGCCGTCGTTTTGCCACGTACCAGCGTTTCCTTCACTCCTACCTTACGCGCCTACATCAGAAACGCGCGTTTCAACACCTCCTCAACGCCAAAACCGTCGATCATCATCGTGCCACGTGTCGATTCCCACGTTCAAGCCGCCGTGATCTGCGCCAAAACGCTGAATCTCCAGCTTAAGATCCGTAGCGGTGGTCACGACTACGACGGTCTCTCTTACATCTCCGCCGTGACGTTCCTCGTCCTTGATCTCTCTAATTTCCGTAACATCACCGTCGATTTGAACGACGGTGGAGGATCCGCTTGGGTACAAACCGGCGCGACGCTCGGCGAGCTTTATTATCGGATCTGGGAGAAGAGCGAGGTCCATGCTTTCCCCGCCGGAGTATGTCCTACCGTCGGCGTCGGAGGACACGTAAGCGGTGGTGGATACGGACACATGATTCGAAAATTCGGTCTCACTATAGATCACGTCGTTGACGCCACAATCGTTGACGCTAACGGTCAAATTCACGATCGGAAATCGATGGGAGAGGATCTATTCTGGGCGATTCGCGGCGGAGGCGGCGGAAGCTTCGGCGTTATTTTAGCTTTCAAAGTGAAACTCGTGACGGTTCCAAAAACCGTAACCGTCTTCAGGGTTGATAAATCGGTTGACGAAAATGCCCTTGACATGGTTCATAAATGGCAATTCGTAGCTCCAAGAACCGACCCGGGTTTATTCATGAGAGTGTTGTTATCCTCTCCGACGCAGAATAAAACACGTACGGTGAACGCTAAATTAAGGGCGTTGTATCTTGGAAAAGCTGACGACGTCGTTTCAAAGATGGCGGAGGAGTTTCCGGAGTTGGGTTTGAAGAAAGAAGATTGTAAGGAAATGACGTGGATTCAATCACTCTTATGGTGGATGAATCATGTAGACGTGGACAAAGTTAAACCGGAGATTTTGCTTGAGAGGGAACCGGATTCGGCTAAATTTCTCAAGAGGAAATCTGATTACGTTGAGAAGGAGATGACTAAACTGGAATTAAACCGGTTGTTTCAGAAATTGGCGACATTAGATAGAACCGGTTTGGTTTTGAATCCGTATGGAGGGAATTTAAACGCGACCGCAGTGAATGAAACGGCGTTTCCGCATCGGCACAAACTTTATAAGATCCAACATTCGGCGACTTGGCCCGATGCTGGACCGGAAGCGGAAAGACTTTATATTGGTAATTTAAGAACAACCTATAATATTATGACTCCATTTGTGTCGAAAAATCCTAGGAGTTCGTATTTGAACTATAGGGATATCGATATCGGGGTTAATGATCATGGAGTGGATAGTTATCGAAAGGGAGAAATCTACGGAAGGAAGTATTTTGGCGAGAATTTTGATCGATTGGTCCGGGTTAAAACGGCTGTTGATCCGGAAAATTTCTTTAGAAACGAGCAGAGTATACCAACTTTACCTCCTAATAGAAGATAGAGAACTTTAGTCCATGTAACAATAGTAACTTCTCTATAGTGTTTCTTCATGAAACTTGGAATAATTTTTATAATAGATTTAGCTGCAAGCTATATTGTGGAATCTTGAGTTAAAATTGAAACTATATCATATGTTGGTTTTAGTTTGCTTCATAAGACACTCCATGATTCCATATACCGGAAAATAGAAAACCAAATTAGACTGAACCGGAACTGGAGTTAAACCAGATTGAACACTCATCCAATAACAAAAAGAAGAAAAATAACATTTCAGTAATTATACATACACACTCTTAAACTAGAATCCACGACACAACAATAAGAAAAGTTATAGAACAAATATAATGAAAATTATACATTGATAACACACCATATGATGTGTCAGTTCGGTTCAGTTCCTGTCAGTACCGTGCAAAGCAAGGAAAAGACCAATCCAGATAAAGACAATCTTTGTGCCGGAGATCTTCAACTTTGAATTTCCATTAAGAAATGGAACGCCCGAGAGATTGTTCTGGTTGAGTCGATTCGTAAAGGGCTGATTTTGAGCAGATGATGATGATGAAGAAGAAGAAATCGGTTGGTTGAATCCAGTTGATGATGGTTGATTAAACCCGGTTAAAGGTTGGTTTAGGGAAGAAGAAGAAGAAGATGGCTGACCAAGAATTGGTTGGTTGAGTCCAGTTGATGAGGGCTGATTAAACCCAGTTAATGGTTGATTTAACCCGGTTAAAGGCTGGTTTACAGAAGAAGAAGTAGATGGCTGACCAAGAATTGGCTGGTTCAGTCCAGTTGATGATGGCTGATTAAATCCGGTTAATGGTTGGCTTAACCCGGTTAAAGGCTGGTTTACAGGAGAAGAAGAAGATGGTTGACCAAGAATTGGTTGGTTCTGGTTCACTTGTTGCTTTGTTGGTAAATTGCTGACTCCTCCTGTTGGTTCTAATGGTGTGGTGATTTGGGTTACTTGTGCAGCCACTGAATATGATGAAACCAAAAGGCAGAAAAGAATGATCGTGAGCATACATCTCCCGGTTTTGGCAAATTCCATATACATTTTTTTTTGTATTTTCAAGTATATTTTCCGGTTTACTAAACACCACATCTTATAGACAGACAAATCTGGAGTTGTTAGCTTCTTTAAGGTTGTTTGAGGAGTTGATGGAGAGAAAAAAAGAAAGCAGTTGACCTGAAACACACAAATCCAACTAAACCAACCATATAGTGTCTTTGTTTTTGTAGCATCTATTACATCACTGTTTTGTGCTTATATGCTGTGTTTATATATACAAGAATGATAGATTTATCTATAAATACAGAAGAATGGATCAAAAACCGGTTCTCAAACCGAACGCGTTACGCCTAATGGAAAGCGAAATCCAAACCATCAAGGACATCCAAATCACTAGAAGAGTTCTTACTCGAAAGATCGACTTTTGGAGAGTTTCCTGTACTTCTACTCAGTGCCCAAATCTTGATTCCTTTCTTGTTCTTCTTCAAGCCGACTAATTCTTGACTCTTACTTAGATTAGGACCAAATCTTATGCTTTGGACTCTGTCTAACAACAACCTGTCTTCTAGAGAGAGTTGGTTTTTATAGGTGAAGTCAGGGGAGAGGGATAGTTGCGTATTGGAGATGGTAATCTTGTTGGGTGGAGAGACATGGTTGGTTTCTTGAAGCTTAACGCCTTGAACTCGTTTCTTTGATGACTTCATTAGTCGATGAAGCCATACAACTAGTTCCAGTACATATGAATCAACTTTTGGTTTATCCGCATGATGAAGGGTCTGAAGTCGTGTTGGATTCCCATTGTTCTCGCCTTTTCCTTTTCCTTTCCCAAACTCTATCCTGTTTTCCACATTCGTAGTTTGTCAGATCAGATTCAAGATTCAAGATTTAAAATTCTAGTAGCTGGTAGAGACTTACCTTGAATTTGCCCATTCACCTACCCATCCGAAGCCTTGATGTGCTCTGTGAAAATTGAATGTGACAAAAATGAACAAGGAGAAACATATTGAACCAAAAACGATGGTGAAGGAATACTTACTTGGTGGTGTTTTCGGCAAACGGGACAAGCCATTGAAGTGACTTCTCCATTTCAGCTTTGATCTCAGAGATTGAAAGCTGCAGAAACACTCAGGTTAGGTAACAAAAGAAGAAACAGAACCAAACAATGCCTGACAATATACTAGAGAAACAGAGATCTTCTTTGGACAAACCTCTTCCTCAGGATCAAGAGTTTGTAGCTGAGGACGAAGAGCTGTCTTGACGGTAGCAGGTAATGCATTGTACAGCGTGTCCCTTACATTAGAAGGAAGTGATGATGGTCGAGACGCCTAGAAATTTCAAGGATCAGTTTCAAGTAGAGAATATATATCAGAATAAGACTGGTGAAAATCTGGAAGCTTACAATACTATCAATTTGTTGGATTAAATTAGCATAGTGTAACGAAAGACCGGCTTCACCTAATCGTTCTCTTCCCTGCTTCCCTTCATTGTCTTTTAGACCTATTGTTGGTTTAGACAATGATAGGTGAGATTTGATTTTCCAGAAGTGGAGTCATTAGTCATTACCAGAGGACCAGAGGTACAAAGAAACATTACCGTTGTTGCCAAAAACTTCCACAATCGTCTGCCGTATATAGCAAACAACATCCACAAGCTTCTCAATTATCTGCAACAAAAGAAAATTTTAGAATAACTGACATATGTACCACACACTCGGATACAACAATTCAATAATCACTTGCCTCTTCCAGATTCTGGGACCAGAGCGATTTCTTCTGTAAGCTCTTCACGAGTTTCCTCTGTTGTTTTAGTTCATTTTGTAAGATGACGATACCCTCTCCTACATGTAGAAAAAGAGAGAATGAAATCGGGAGTTTTAGAAAAAGCTAGGGCAGATCAAATAAATAGCAAGACCAACCTCTCCGAGAGAGGTTTAAAGACTCTACTTCTGCAAGCTTTCTCCTGTAATCTTGTTCAAACCTATCCAAAGCTTGCAACTCGTGATATAATTCCTGATAAAGCAAATGCAAGTTAAATTCATTTGAAACTTCAACATGGAAACAGTTCATGTAAGAGTTTTGAAGTGAAGAAAAAACAAAACATACAGAAGTGAATCGGGCAAGAGTGACGAGCTCTTGCATCTTTGCCTCTGCCTCATCTTTGAGCAGTTTATGCTGTGAGTTCTCTGTGTCAAGCCTGAAACGTTATAGACCGGTGTACAATGAAAATCCACTGGCATGCGAGTGACTAAAAAGCATTGGATAAGAACTTGCTCAACGCAGAACTAAACTTACTTCATAAAATATCGATCGAGATTGTGCCACTGCATATCTTTGCACATATTGCCAAACCTGATAACCTCTCCAGAGAAAAGATCGAGTTCCTCCCTACACAAAAAAAGAATATGAATCAACAAAGAAAACGAACCAAAAACAAAACAAATGGAGATAAATTATAAAACACAAACCTTTTGTCAGAAGCAGCAAGAATTTGCAACTCTGCGGTATCCGTAGAAACCAACTTCTTAACTCCCTTGGATCGCAACATATCTTTCTTCATAAACTTGAGATTCTCTTCAGACAGAGATTGCAGCAAAGCAGCACCTTTGGCTATTGTGTTGGCTACTTCAAAGGCCAATATAGTGACTTTGCCACCACGCGACGATGTAACACCAGAGAGATATGCGCTGCTCGGGTTCATACGAGACATACTGCTCCCTAGCGTGTCTAGAACTTCAACCGCCTTCTCTAGCCCCATAACCCCAGCCCGTCCCATAAACGAGTTCCTCTGCATAAACTGTTGAAAAAATCAAGAAACAAACTCTCATCAATACAAAGATGAAATCTTTCGCATTAGAACAGTATTCAGGCATGATTGCACATCCTAAAGAAGCCTTTGAAAACAAAAACCTTGGTGGAATCGTTCCTTAACGGAGGCATCGGACCGAGTTCACCGGAAAAGTTGAAAACAACTTCATCAGGCTTAGAACTTTTCCGCCTCGAGCTTCCGTAATGATCTGAATAATAAGAATCAGAGGTTCTTCTTCTCCTCATCGACTTCAGTTTCCCAGAAAACCCTCTTGACTTATCATCGTTTGATCTCAACTTCTTCTTATCACCATCTTTGTATACACAAGAACAAGCACCTCCCATTTTGTCTTCTCCAACAAGTTATCTCTCCGATAAAGCTCTAATCTTTTAAAGGAAACAAACTGTATTACGAATCAAAATCAGCAGAAGAGACCAAATGACCCAAAAGAATCAAGAAAATCAAGAATTGCAACTATGGTAGGGACAAAAAGAAAGACTTGGTAAAATGGGAGAGACAAAGTCAGAACAAGGAAGAGTTTTTATTATAAACCATTCACAAGCTAAGAGGAAGCACCGTGGAATCAATGGCTTCTAATTTTTATTTTCTTTGACTTATCGTTTTAAAGAGAAGTCAGAGTCAGAGAGACGACTATTCTTACTTCCTTTTGGCTTTTTTAAATTTGTTGTTTATCGAAAGAGAAGAAGACCATTGTTGAAGATATCTCGCCGTCCTTGTTACATGGAAAGTGACGTGCTTAGGTTTAATTTTTTTAGCAACAATCTTTCTTTTGCTGAAGAATTAGTCCAATCATATTTCAACCATGATCAAACCTTAATTTCAACGCCAGTGAAAGTATTAAGAGAAAAAAAAAATGCTTACTAGCTGAGACGCGGCGGTTTCCGGCGCCGGGAATGTAACCAGTGTGGTGATCGGGAGGTTCTGGTTTACTTTGTATCTGTTGCTGAAATTGGGTTTACCGTATCGGTTTAATCCTGAACCGGTGGAAATTCCGGTTTGGTTCTTTGAAAAACGGAGGAATATTGGAGAATTTATGGTTTGTTGGGAATTTCGGCATCGATCTATATTCTACTTTTTTTTTTTTTTTTTTTGTGGATTGGAATGTTTGATCAGTGTTTAGTTGATTTGGTTGAAGAAGATGAAGATGAAGGACCGTCGCAGAGGTGTGAGGAGGTGGGAATGTTGAGGCCTGAATTTGTGAATATTGGGCCGTTTTTAAGGCCCATCATAATGAAACTGTAAATATGTAATTTCACTCTAAAAACAATCCTTTTTTTTTTTTTTTTGTTAAAACTCTAAAAACAATCCTTTTAATGTATGTCTTTTGAAGTTGAGATTTAAATTGGGTTTAATTTTTCAGAATACGCAAAAGTCAAAACTACAAAATATATATGATATATATTTTTGACATATATCTTAAAAGTTATATATTTTTAATATTTTTTTGTAAATTGGTATATCAATAAACTAGTGTTTAAAATAAAATAAAAGGGTAATATGAATGATAGTGTATTCTGAAAAAATTATATTAATGGCCTAACTGATTAGAGATGGTGATTGTTAAAATTAGGATTTATATATAATAAAAAAAACCTACACTATGTAAAAAAAAGTCCATCCACAATAGCTGTAAATTTGAAGTTTTTTGTCAGGTAAGGTCAACGAGAAAAAGAAGTAGTTGCGAAGACGGTCGTTTACAAAAATGGCCTATGCCTTTAAGATCATGTATCTACTTGTCAATATTTCAATTTAAAGTTTTACGATGCTATATAATTATGAGTAGATTTTTATGTATAATAACTCAATATCATGTAATTTTTATATCAATATTAACTGATGATTTTTATATCAAGTAATTGATCAAAATACAAGTTCATCCTTCTTTTTATTAGTATTAAGAAAACACAAAACTCCAACTCCAATAAAAACATCTTTACATGTCGGTCGTTATGGAAGTAATAGTATTTTAGTTTTGTTGCTGCTTCATGTCGTCTTCATAAATGTTGTTTATAGATGCGGCATTTATGACAAAAGTAGATTGTGTGCTCGAGATTATTAATTACTACAATTTATATTGACTGATTGGTTTATAAATTTCAAGGTTAATGACGAGTGTTTTATAAAAAAAGATTTAAACTAATTCTTCAGATTAAGAAGGTATAGTGAACTGAATTTCAAAATGTTGTTGTTATCAGTTTCTTATATATAGGATAGAATCACACCTTGTCCCAAAAAAGAAAAAGAAAAAGAAAAAAAGAAAGAAAAGAAGATAGAATCACACATATAAAACATTAATCCCTCCGTATTTTAATAAGTGTCGTTTTAGGATTTTTTTTTTTTTTTAATTAGATGTCGTTTTCAAATTTCTATGCAAAATTTTTTACTTTTTAATGTTTTATGATGTCATAAAACATTAAAAAGTAATAAATTTTGCATAGAAATTTGAAAACGACATCCAATTCAAAAAAATAAAAATTCTAAAACGACACTTATTAAAATACGGAGGGAGTATAATGTTTTTGCCGTGTCTCTTTTTTACTATAGTGTAAAATTAGATACATTCTGAATTTCTGATAAAGACGATATTAAGGATAAAAAGGACTGAAAGTACATTTGTCGTCTTTTTCACATCGTCATGATTATAAAACATATACTCCCTCTGTTTTTTAAAAGTTGTCGTTTTAACTGTATTTGGACAAATTAAGAAAAGGTATACAATGACTATATTAACCTTATAAAAATGACAAGTAATTATTTACAAATAATTTGTGTTTAATTAAATGAGGGTAATTTGGGTAGTTATTGGCATAAGTTACATTATTACCTTAAAACGACAACTAATTTAAAACAAAAAAATGCTCTAAAACGACAACTATTCGAAAACGGAGGGAGTATGTATCAATAAATTTTGATATAGATTGTTTCTCATGATATTAGTTTTAAAACTTATCTAGAAGAGATATTTTAGCACAATGTAATAAAATATAGATATATGTGACTGCTTGTGTGGGTGGCTGGGTGCTAGCTGCTTGGGCGTGCGAGTGTGAAGTCTAGTATTTTGTAACTTTACGGCTTAACTAACATGTGAACTTGATTTTGTTAACACATTGTAAATGTTTGATGTCACAGAAGAAAATAAAATAACTATACGAGGTTTATATGAGTAGCATCAAATTTTTTTATAAATGTTCCATGTGAAAATATCAACCAAATGTTTATAGCCGATGTTTGTTTGTTCTATTGGTCGACATCGAATATTTTTTTTAGTTGCACTTAAATCGACAAATTAAATCGGAAATGACCCGATCCAACTACCAAATCAAAGAAGTGCTAACATATATTTATTTCGGTATCTTGTGGCAAGCATTATCTACGAGAATGTGATTAATAGTGGAACATGACATGTTTAGTATGTCTCGACTCTTGTTAACAATATTTAATACAAGGATACATAAAACATGGAATATGGAGATAAGAACCCCAAACAATAGAATTTTATAAGAATTTAATAAATTTATTGCGTTATCAAGAAGATTTCAAGATTTGCATGCGGATCATGAGCCGGCTGGTGAAACTAGGAAATTATATAAAATTATTGACTTTTGAGTTTGACAGATGGTTGTTCGGTGTCTAACTATATCATCAATTGCACTGATAACATATACTATTCAATTTTGAGTATTTACAGAATTAATAGTAATACTTTGTACTCTATATATAAACGCTTTTCAGTGTTTTATTTAGGCAACTACGTACAAACAAAACTAAGTACATATAAGTAATTGCACCCAATAACAGAAGTAGGGAGAGCTAGCAACCCTTAAGTAAATGACAAAACAATTTTTGTCCAAGTGAACAAACGTGATTTTTAAACATTTTGAAAGATTTTTTGTGGACCACTATATTATCAAATGGATTTTTATATGGTTTAGTTATCTATATAATTTAAGTATTTTCTTCAATATCGTGCTATTTTTTTTTATGTAAACTTCTATTTTGTCTAATGAGTCTATATCTCCTCATACCATTTTATTATTATTGGAAGTCTATATAATTAAATATTGTTTTTCCATGTATTAAAATTCCAAATCAATATAATTTTAGGAGATTAAAATAACGTGTTATATTTTTATCTATATGTTTACCTGTACTCTTTTGCCATTTCTAAGATCAACTCAATTAATTATCATTAGTGTTAATATTTTTTTTTAATTTGTTTGATATTTACCTAATTTTCTATGTAAAGAACGATTCTACACATTTTATTGTAGATTTTGTGGTGCGCCTAAATGATTCATAGCAATAACAACATAATCGAATTATAGTTTCATATATTCTATTGTAAATTTCCTTTGAATCAATCGCTAAATTTTTAAAATTCAACACTATTTTGGTCATACGTTTTATTTTCTCAATTAGGCAATGGAATAGCCGAAGTTTTTTAGAGTTAAAAATATATAAATAGGTATAAGCGTAAGACCATGAAATGTGTCTAGTCCTCTCTATATTTACATTTATATAACATCCACGCATATATAAGACCACCCACCCACCAAAAGTTGGAAGTGCATCAATTGGATGGTATAAAACGGACGTCGCTTATTTGTTTTTGAGCTTTTGAATGCTTTCTCTAATTGCGCATTAACCGGCGCAATTTCTCAATGCTAATTCAGTAATTCCCATTGAACCAAAAAAAAAGTTAATTTCAATGAAATAATACACACCCAAATTCCAGAAGATAAACATCTACGTACACGGGTCAGTGAGATTGTACATTCTTGACACCAAACCATCAATCTAATTTTGTGTCGTTAAGGTTGATATATTTTGACGGATCTAAACAAGAAAAGGTGGTAAATCTCTTAAGTGGTGAAGATTATTTTATAAGTTTAGGTCAAAATTTAAGAGCCGAGTCAGTAAATTTATACTATAATTAGGTCGTTTTTGTTATTGCAGATGTGTGAAGATTAATCTGTTATATACTTAATACATGACAAAAATACTATATAACAAATGTGATAGATTATCTTATCAATTGTCAGCAAATTATTTGAGATCAATTTAAATTAAATTAGTTTGACTTATTTTGTACTTTTATCTTTCAAATCATTTTCTCCATTTGTTTTTTTTTCAACTGAGAAGAAGAATTGTCGGTAGAGTTGTTTTTTCAACAAAAATAAAATAGTTGGTTGACATATACTTTTAGACCTAACATGACGTGTTCTCTCGAAAATAAAACACCAATTGTAATTTTAGTATGAGTTTCTTACCAGTATAACTACACAGGTCACTAAACTCACAAAAAGGTTAATTACATAAAACACCGTAATTTTTTTTTTTTTGAAAATCTAAATTATATATATATGATGAAAAAATGGAGTAAGTTCATAGTCGATCTTATTGGTAGAGTTTAGCTCTTTAACTAATATGAAAATATTTTGTTTCCTATCACATGTATTAGCCGATTTTCTCACTAGAAACTGTTCATGAAATTAAACACCTTTTTTTTTAATAGAAAAACAGCTATTTACATGGTAGTATTAATGTATATGATATATATTTATTTTTTGATAATCAAGGAGTGATCCAAACTTTTATTACCCAATTACTTTTCAAAGTCAGTTTAACTGTCGAATAGTCTACTCATCAAGATTTTTAATGGACTTAAAACATGACACTAGATGATATGTTGCACAAAAAAAAAATCTAAATGATGTTAGACGATTGATATTTGCATTAAAAAAAATTGCGAGTAATTCATACAGTATTAAGTTAATTTCTGATTGTTTCCTTTTATAAAGAGCACAATAAAAATGGTGGATGCCCGTAAGGCTACCTCGTCAGTAGTTAACAAAGACTTATGATTGCATTTGCAGTTTACACTCTCTCTCGTCTTTTAAAAGTGTTCTAATTAAAATCCTCATTAAATGTCATTTAGCATCTAATTCTTAAATCAAATTCGTACTCTAGTTTCCTACAACTTCTTCTAACCACTGACCATATTTTTTTGTACGAAATCTAACCTTTTTTTGT